CTCGTCCATGGGATTTGGTGGATTCGGCGAATAGTTTGATGGACTAGGGAATGAGGTGCAGATCGAAGGACTGAAATATTGAGTGAATTCATAAGGGCATTGATTTTGCAATACAATAATTTTGGAAAAACCATAGACTACGCGACAACGCGTCTTCTGATGCTTCTAATGCATTATACAAAACGCCCAAGGTAGTATAGGCTTTCTCACTAAGAGTGTCAAAAGTTCAATGGCCAGACTCCTCGCGGCCGCCTCGCTCGGGCCTTGCGTCGCTCTCGCGGATATACTCTTGAGCATTTTCTTCGCTAAAACGATTAACACTGGGGAAATGCTCAAAGAATATATCGCAACGGCAACGCAACGTCGAACGAGGCGGCCGCGATTACCCCAGCCGCTGATACTGTGACATTCTCATTGACACAGATTACAGAATGTTCTCAGGCTACAGTATTACTCATCCCCGGCGCTTTGTGACAAAAATCTGCTAAAACTTCCGAGAAAAAAAAACGCAAAATGAGATCGCTCAGAAGTAAGGGGACTAGATGTATGGCTAACAAGGAAATCTAATTACCTTGAAGAGCTCATGACACTCGCATCCAGTGGCGATGTGCTTCCGGAAGAAGGGCAAGGTGGCTGGGTGCATAACGGCTCAACGCTAGAGCTTGGCTGCACGTTAAGCTGTTGCGTACGTTCTTCTTCTGGTAGTTGATTGACGAGCTGGTCGAGATCGAACTCGAGATTCTGAGAAGATGATGCACTGACATTAGTATTTTGGAAAACAAACAAAAATTTGTGCTTTCTCACCTCGTCTGAGAAATCCGAGAGGATCTTTTCGAGCTCATCTGACTGGAGCACACCACCAACAGGAGGTTGATCATAAGATGAAACAGGAGATAGAGTGGGACAACCTGTACCCTCGGCAGGGGTCCACTAATGAATGCGGCAGATTCAACAGCAGCCCCACTCGTCTCCGGTAACACCTCATGTACCTCTTCGTAGATGACATTTGATTGTGATGGAATCACTTGACATTGAACATCTCCACTAGCGTTTAGTCGTCTGATGAGGTCATTGTTTTGTTCTGTGAGTTCCTGATTTTCTAGTCTAAGCAGTCCATTCTCTTGTTTGAGTGCTTCATTTTGTTCCAATAGTTCTCGAACGACGTCTTCCAGGCGCTGGCTTCGATACTGAAAGCAGTGTCCTAAGTGCTGATGTCAGGTAATTTTCAGACTAATCAGATAATTTAACCTTAACTAAGACTATTTTATTTACTTCCCTGGATTTCTATTTTGTTTAAAGTTTGAGTGCTCATCC